CACTGCCCGCCCACTCTTACGCAAGAAGATTTACAGTAAAGCGTGGCAAGAGAGGGCTTCTTGCACAAGAGCTATGCTCTTTAGGGTTCACTGTAAGCTCTCTTGTGCAAGAGCTCTTGCACAAGAGGGCAGTGTGGACGCGCAGCAGGGGTTTCTTGTACAAGAACGTCCTATGGCTAAAATGGCCATCAGAGCTTTCTTGAGCAAGGCAGTGTCCACTCTGCCATGGATGCTCTTGTGCAAAAGCACAGGGCAGTGTGGACATGTTCTTGTGCAAGAATTCTTACACAAGAATCCTTGAGCAAGATGTTCTTCCACAAGAACCCTCTAGTGTAGACATAGCCCTGTAATGCAATTAACAATGATCCTGGAATGTTTTCATCCCCCTTTTGTAAAATGCTGAGCATTCTCCAATCCACTGATGCCAATGGGACTTGAGAGCTCTCAGTATTTTGCGGGATCAGGCTGTTGCTTACTTTGGGGTGGCAGTGCTTTTTAGCAAGTTGGTGACATCAAAGCTCACACAGCTGATCAAAGGCATAACCAAAAATGCACACAGATCCTTCTGTGTATTGACTTTACCAGCAAGGACCCAGCTGTGGCAATGAGCTTCATGTGGGTAGACCCCGTGTGGGTCTTCACCTAGGTACAGCTGTACTGAGCTCATTGCAGGACTGGGACCTACAACTGCAAAAGCCTGTTCTGCTCTTGCTCTCCAGATGGCAAAAGAAACTACTGAGCCTGAAAGTGCTTCGACATTTGGATGGTTTACAAAAGGAGACAAATAATGTTTCTTTGTTTTATGAGGTCCAAAGAGTCAGGCTGAAGTAAATGGGAAATTGTATATTGGGGAATATTTAGCAAGACAAGAGCCTCTAGGCTTCCATAACAATTGAAATTCTCTCCTGTATATTCCGAGAGGTGATGGCAGTTACCCAGGTTGAAGCAACCTGGAGGTGCTATAAAACTCTCCTGTAGGCAATTTGAGGCAGCCTAATGTATTTCAAAGCTTGCAGAATAAGCTAAAAATAAAGAGTGCTGTAATTCGATTGTTAATATCCCATTAAGTTTTATGAGCATGAGGGAGGAAGAAAAAATAAAAAAGGTTGCTTTGTGGGCTCTTTTGACAAAGCCTACAAAGTAGCAATAAACAGCTTGCCATTAAACTTAGAGACTATTTATAATACTTTTGTGATCCATCTCTCCTGCTCTTCTGCTTCATGGAAATATTAAATCAGTGGAAATTTGGGGGAAAGTGGATAGAGCTGATGTTCCTTTCTCTCTCTCTCTCTCTCACCTCCTCTGGAGACAGACTACAGCTATTAGAGGAAATGGCATTCCACACAATGAGAACACTTAAACCAGCACAGCTCCGAATGCTGGAGGATGGGGGTGGATAGGCCTGGAGTTCAAGAACAAATTGCAGGGCAACACATCCCAGTCCCATTTTTAAATAAGTAGGTATTTGCTTAAGATTTAACAAGTCAATCACTGTATGCTAATTGCTGTAAATGGTGGGAATTAAAAATGATAAAAGTGATACATCTAATTCCAAAATAATTAGCTTTAGTGACATGTTTGTACAGCATATATAAGGAATATGTTAATGAAAACCAGCCTACTCTGTGTAAGTATATAAGACTGTATTGTAATATAAGGCACTATTCTACAATGCTTTGCAGACAGCGGCTAATCAACTATGGTCATATTTTCAAAGGTTCCAAGCAGCTCCCACTGATTTTGGGTAAAGACCTCTCAAAATCAGGGCACTGGACCTCACCAATGGCTGTCAGGTACATATTTTTATCCCTGTTCTGCACATGGCAAAATAGAAAAAGAGAGGTTCAATGACTTCATCTAAAACATTGAAGGAGTCACGGACACTCAAATGTAGGAGTTCCTGGCTCCCAGGCTGATGTTCCATCCACTAGACTATACTGCCTTTCTTTGTCCTTCTCCATATCATATGCAACCAGGGTCTGACTCTGTTCTAGCTGTGGATGTGTGACACTGACTCTCTTAGTCACCAAGGGCAAGTCACATAGCCTTTCTGAGATTATTTTCTCCACACAGGAAGTGAGAATAATGGTGTCATTATTGTGTGTATTACAATAGCGATTGTCTAAATGAGTTATGCTGAACTCTAAACAGGATTAAATGTGTATATATTGATGTTGGGAGGTGGGGTTCCCCCCACATAATTCAATGGGTTTTAGTTTCACAGACAGTTTTGCAATGAAGCCAAAACTTGAGTATTATTATGTTGAACTATCAGAAAAGTCAGTGAATGTAAAATCCAAAGACTAAGAGAAGAAAAATGAGTCTGGTTTTGGGGGTGGGGAGAATATGGAGATACTAGACTAAATAGACCTGTCCATCTTAAACCACTGTAAACTGTGTAATAATTTGTGTTATGACCAGCCATGAAGACTGAGTTTTACACTGTATGCCTGGACTAACCTTATCACTAGCCTTTAAGTTGGAAAGTCCAAGGGATGTGATTGATGCTGAATGAACAAGGTATCCTAGCTGCTCCCTTCATCTTAGCCTTTTATCATTAGGACAGAATAGATTAGTGTTTGTTTTATAGCTCACACTGCCCTTTTGCTGCCCTCCTTGCACTGCCTCTGCAAATGAAAATGTCTCCACAGACAGAAAAATAAATGGACTTTCATTAACAGGCACTATGCTGATCTCACAGATTTATGCAGACTGGGTTGAAAAGGCAGCACACATGCATGCCTGGGGCAGTATTAATTGTGATCTGTCCTAAAGAGCTAGTCTTTATGCAGAGATCACTGAGTTTGCTTTGTCTCCTTTAAAACGTCAATTGATGCTGGGTGGGAGTTGCATCTGTTTCACCTGCCTAGGAAGGTACAGGCCTCTCAAATGGTGACTGCAACACACCCATGGGTAGGAGCTCAGAAAGATGAAGGGGGTTAGATACAGAGTTCGATTGCTGCCTTTTTATTGCACCATGGAGTCTTGGGTTAGACCCCTTGCTAGAGTATTACTGGCATTGCTTGGCTTTATGCTGTGGGGGGCTGCAACAGCTTTGGTCTTTGGTGGAGCTTTTGTGATACTTACATACAAAAATTACAAATCCTTCTTTGAGGATTATTTCCTGCTTGTGCCAGGGTGGCTGGCTATTGTGTCTGCCTTTCTGTTGCTGCCCACTGGGGCTTTGGCCATCAGTATCCCCGCAAGAAACTCCCGCTACCAGCAGGGGACTTTCATGTACTTGCTGATTGTTCTGTTCTGCCTGGAAGCCTCTTCAGCAGTCTTGGCACATGTCTATTCTGTCAGCATAAGCTCTGAACTGGACCGCACTATGGGTCACCTCTTCCAGCAGTACAATGGGACTTATTCCCATCATCCTGGCAGTAGGGCCGTGGACATAATCCAGAGACAACTGCAGTGTTGCGGGGTCCACAACTACACAGACTGGCGAGAGTCAGCGGCTTCACAACACATCTCTGCTGGAAATATATGTGCTCCTGAAAGCTGCTGCAAAGAGACATACTCACATTGTACTGGTAACATGCGCCTGTCAGAGCAGCTCTTCCAGGAGGGTTGTCTAAGGAAGCTGGACTCTCGGCTGCAGTTTGTCATGGGCTATGTATTTTGGTGCTGTGTTGTTGTAGGTTGTTTGGAGGTGTTAGCTGCCATTAGCAATGGGACACTTATGAAGCAGAGGCCATTCCAAGACTTCCGAATTCTGGACTCTGCTACATTTTCATAGACTTAAGAAAGGGAAACTTGTTTGATCTTCTCCATGTCTGCTGAGGCTGTGGGTCAGCCCCAGTTAAACTGTACTGAATGCAGATTTATTTTTTTTTAAACACAAACCCATCCTAACCCACTGCTAACTTTCCCTGAATTGGAAAACCCTCTCTCAAATAATGATCAAGTCTTGGTTTTGATTTTATAAAACTGACATTAATAAATATCTTGTATTTGCAAATCTAATGTAGTTGGTAATTAAGCCAGAAAGAACAGATACACCTTGCAGTACATGCAAAACTGAAAAGGAAAAAAAGTTCACAGGTGTAGTGAGAGGCTTAATTTGACTCTGGAAACCATCACTAGCTAAATCAATGGAAGTCCACAGGTGTAGTGAGAGGCTTAATTTGGCTCTGGAAACCATCACTAGCTAAATCAATGGGACTAGCCATGACACTAAAGTTAAGAAGGTGCCTAAATGTTTGTCAGATCAGGGCCTAAATCATTACAATAAATCTGAAAACTGAATTGACCTCACTGGAGTTATAAAGCTTTAGCCAAGATTAGAAACAGTTCCTATTACTTAAGCATCAATTCAAACCAGCAGATTAATATCCTCAGTGTTTCACACCTGGCATTATGCCAAAGGCCCGAGAGAAAAGGATCAGCACAAGATTACTAGGATACACTTGTTTTACAAGCTAATGACATTCTAATATTTAAATTTTACTGTTCCAAAACCAACAGATCTGTAATAATACCGGGCTGCCAGGGTTGCTGCTAAGACATCTCCTTAGTGGTATTCATCAGAAATAGCAAACTGCATGGGTTATGAAATAGCTTTGTAGAGAAGGAGGGATTAAAGCAATAACAGAGCTAGTTAATGGTCTTTAAGCAACTGCAGAAGAACAGTGGGGGAGAAGGGGTGGGTGATAAGTCCAGCTGCTATGGAGCTGGTAATTTAACAAGTCCTCCAGTTTCCCTTCTGCTTAATTAAGAGTTTTTGAAATTTGTTGGGGCAAAACAAAAGATGAACTAGAGAAGGAAGAAAGAGTTTTAATCATACTAAATGATTATAGTTTTAAAAGATAACAAACTGTAGTTGGTAAATGACAGCACATTTTAAAGTGCATTATTGCAAAAAAAAAATCAGAGGAATATTTTTCTTAGACCACAACTGAAATAATTCAGTTGGGCCTCTATAAAAATGTGAAAAACTTTAAATGAAACATGTCAAAGGGCTTATTCAAATCAAATCCCTTATCCTGCATATCCACAGTGAAACAAAATGGAGTGCAAGCATCTTTTGGGGAAGATGGAGCCACGGGAGCTTTCTCAGACTTGAAAAAAGGTAAATGGATGAGTTTTTAAGCAGTATAATAAAAAAATAAGAATAGTGCTCTTATAGTTTACTGTTGAGACATTACATGATGGAGTGATGTGCTTAGGAACCAGAGGAGACTCAGCTGTCATAGCCTCACATTATCTTAGCACAAAGACATGTTATGAAGTTTCAGTCATGTAATGAAAAGGGGATGATTCTACAGATAGTAGGAAAGTGGCCAATCTGGTTAGGAAATGAAGTTATTTGAAGCAATCAGGGGATAAACTGAGAGAGTGAAAATCTTCCTTTCCCCTCTCTCCCTGGTTTAAGGAACTTAGTTTCCCCCCAAGTCACTCGTCATTCTTTCTCTCTTTGCTTGGGTAGTGAGGATTTATGGATGGGGATTTCCCCTGCTTCCTCCTGGTAAGTGGAGCAAGGGCATCACCTCTCACCTTGAAAAAGAGGCATCTAACATGGGAAGCTTTGTGTTTGTTTCTGCTCCCTTAGAGATAAACTGGTCTTTTGGCTTCCCCAGCCTTACAGTGGAGATATTATTTTAAAGAAATAAACAAAAAGGGATATAAACTTGTATTGGAACTTACTCTCCACAGTTGATTTCTGGAGCCTATTTAATAACACCATAAAAACATATATGGCTTTCTACGTAGAGTACAATCTATCCTGGTAGAATATAGGAATGGTGGCGAATGAGAGTAAGAGTGAACGGACTCCTATACATGAGGGCTACGTCTACATTGGCAAGATTTTGCCCAAATACTTTTAACGCAAGAGTTTTTGCGTTAAAGTATTTGTGCAAGAGAGCGTCTACACTGGCGCATGCTTTTGCACAAGAGATATGCTTTTGCGCAAAAGCATCTGTGCCAGTGTAGACGCTCTGTTGCACAAGAAAGCTCCAATGGCCATTTTATCCATCGGGCTTTCTTGCGCAAGAATTTCATGTTGCCTGTCTACACTGGCCTCTTGCGCAAGAACACTTGCGCAAGAGGGCTTGTTCCTGAGTGGGAGCATCATAGTTCTTGCGCATGACGCACTGATTTCTTACATTAGAACGTCAGTGTTCTTGCGCAAGAACTCGTGGCCAGTGTAGACAGGTGGCAAGTTTTTGTGCAAAAGCGGCCACTTTTGTGCAAAATCTTGCCAATGTAGACACAGCCGAGAAGATTATATAAAGTTAGGGTCACTAAGTAAATTATTATTTATATATTAAGAAATAAGTAATCTCAGGCTGAGAAGCTTTCAGTGAGAGATTACCAGTTTATAAACATTGGATATATCCAAGGAAATAGAACAGTTGTGTTCTTTTTATGTAGTTCCTCTGTGCAGATTCTGAGGGACTAACCTTTTCTCTAACAAAATGATTGAGGTAAATGTGAACAGTAAAAGAAGACACCCCATTCTCAAAGGGAAAGAAATAACAAAATTTAATTATGACAGAAAAGACATCTTCTTTGATACCTAGCTAAACCTTCTTAATCCTCTTTCAGGCAGGATTGGCCTTTTATAAGAACCTTTTTCCCAGCAAACCTTTCTGGCAGAGACAGAAGCTCTAAGAGGTGGCCATTTTGAATTGCCTGTTTTTCACTGACTCTTTCACACCTTCCACTGGTGAGTACTTTTAACTGCTAATATTTCCTCTTCTGCTTTCTGAAATAATATGTTATTGCAGGGGGAATTCTGTCTTTTTAGATAGGTATTTTGTGGGGGGTTTTCCTCGTTCAAGAGACACTAACACTAGAAGTTGGTGTTGACCCTGTGGCAATAAATGTGTCTGCATTTATGAGAAATGTTAATAAAAAATGCTAAAATGTACAGAGTGTAGAGGGGTTGGTGGAGCAATGGAAAATGTCCTACATGCTGTTACTGAAGTGATGAAAATCACCTGAAATTGGTTTTCAAACAAAAGTTCTGGGCTTGATGCAAAAACTAGAGGGTGTGGTTCTCTGTTATGCAGGAGGTCAGACTAAATTATCTAAAAGGTCCATTTGAATCCACAAAAAACTCTGAGGTCTTAACACTTCAGCTGGGCAAGCTGCCTCCCCTAGGAATTTCCATGCAGCAGCTGCAGCTTTAGTAGGAAAACATCATGCCTGCACAGAAACACCATCAGGGACAGCCTTTGCCAAGATCCGGCAGCTGTCACTTCAAAAACCCAGAAGAATCCACATTTTGTACCACTATCCCATGGGTAACTGGATCATTTAAAGCAGCAGAATATTTTCTGAGAGGCTTTCAATGAGCAAGTAACGTGACAGTCAACGAGTTCACAACAGTTTGATGTTCAGTCACAGACTGAAGGGGGAGGATGAAGGTTTAGAATATGCTAATATTAAAATAAGATATTTAAGAAGTTCTAAAACCTGACGTCCTACTGGGTCCCCTTTTGTCTCTCTCTCTCTCTCTCTTTTTGTTTGTTTAAGAAGAGAGAACTTTTTTCAGAAAATCTATTGTTTGCCATTTACTGTGGCTTACTATGGAAACAAATACCCTTATCACAATCTACATAAAAACTAAAGTTAATTGAGAAATTCAATGCATGTGTTACTTTTGGTTTTATAGCTTGAGTGGGAGTTTGTATACAAGGTTGTGTTTTTTCCCCCCCTTTTTCTGTGATGGTAAAACACAGTGGGATCCTGGTGCATGGCTGGGGCTCCTAGATTCTACTGAAATACAAATAAATAATCACAGGTGCACTGTAACTGTGTGTGAACTCATAATATGATATTTCAACTCAGGGATAACTGAAAGGTAAGGGCTGATGAGAGATCTTACCTACCGGTAACATATTTGCACAGCACTGACAAAACACTTGTTTTCCTTGGTATAAGAATGCATAAGTACTTTACATGGAATTGTTCACCTTGGATTTTAAGGGACCAACAAATACTTGTGCATGTGAATACCTTGACTAATGGAACTACTCACCCGATTCAAGCTACTCAGGTTTGTTAGTGTTTTCATTTCAACTACCTAATGCTCCACCAAAATTCCCAAATATTCACTGCTTCCAAGGAACTAATCTAAAATAAAGCACAATGGGAAGGGAAAAGTAAACAAATCAACACAAGGAAATTTGCAATTCTGCTTTTCCGAGTCAAGTGAATAACGAGTTGACCAATTTAGTGGGTTTTTTGAATGGAAGATTAGTCTTGTACTGAAGGCATGGGACTAGGAGTCCAAAGACTGGGGACTCCTTTAATGGCTTTTGACAAAACACAAATATGTTTCTGTGCTTCACAATCCCTACCTATCAAATGGGGAGAGTGGCTTCCCAATCTTGCAGAGGCAAGGAGGCTTCATGTGTTTGTGACATGCACAGACACTCTGGGTGAACATCACAGAAATGACTCTAACTATTTCTTTCTACTGGCAAATTTACAGCAAGCAGTCTTTTTTAAATCATGCTCTCTTGCTGGTATCTAGAAAAGCTCAATAATAAGGGAAGAAAAATAGACAGCACAAGAGACAACCCTACCTTGAAATAATATTGAAAAGCTTCTTACTGGTATTTGAAGCCAACTCATCAGCTCTTAGAACTTTACTAATTGCAGAGAAAAACTTAGGCTAGTAGGAAAACCACTAAGGTATTCAGATTGTGTATCCCTTTGAGTTTATGCCACTTCTAAATTTTTGTATGGATCCTTATGTGGGGAAACCTCTTGTAACATTTTGAGCGATTTTCATATACTGTATGTATTATGTTTAAAATATACGTGTGACTTCTCTGTGTACGTGCACGGATATTAAAGTTGTATTGAAAAAAATAAAAACACAATTATCTGACCTGTGCTAGTAAACAAGTATGAGGATTCTTTTGAGGCTTGCGTAGAAATTCACTGGGTGATAGGCAGAAATTGGCCACTGGGCAATAGAATTGCAATTTGTTTCTTACATGTACCTTTTTAATTAAAGAGACTTCATGTGATAGATGCTGATCACATGGAATGCTTGAGAGATTTACCTGCTCACAGGAAACTTCACATCTGTTGCTTCACCCTTTAAAATCTGCCAACAGGTGTCTCCTCTGATAACTATCAACAGATGCAGCAAGCATGCCTTTTTGATTAGGTTTGAAACTATTAATTTCTTATCAAGGCTTATTTGCTACCTCCTAAAAAGATTAACCAGAATTGAGCTTTGTTTATTACTGAACTTATGAAATCCAAATCTAAATTAATAAAAATGGGCTTTGATGCTTCATTGATGAACTGGAAAAAAAGTATTCTAACCACACCAGCTCAAAAACATCCTTTTGAAAGATGAAAGAAATCACTCAGCTCTGAGCAGTGTAGTATAACTCTTCAGGGTGGAAATTGGTGAACTATTATCTCCTAAAAGTTGCTGCATATATGTTAACCTGTACTAAGAACATAGATCTTTCATGGACGAAAGAGATTTGTATTGCTATTAGCTAATGCTGTCAGCTCTTCAATATATGATGCAGATCTTTCATTGACATGAACTGATGTAGAACTTGTCTACATGGGGAATAATGCTCTGGAATAATGCTGAGTGTAATTTAAAGCTCAATAGCTCTTCCAGAGTAGCTCCTCTTCTGGAGACACTTAGTCTGGAATAAATGGCGTGCCTTTTTCTGGTTTAGCTTAATCCTCTTCCAAAGTGCAGTAGCTATTCCAAAGCAACTATGCCAGTTAATTTCCCTGTGTCATCGTAACACTACTGGCAACAGTCATGTAAAGTAAACAAATCAATGCAAGGAAAGAAATTGCACCAGCTGAGGGTCTGGTCCTGTATCTCAAACTGACATTTGATATAGCCTTTTTTTTTCCTTGCTAAAAAGAGACATGAGTTTGATCGGTTGTTTTGCCACAGCTTTCCTGTGTGCCTTGGGCAAGTCACTTACAGCCAGAATTTTGAAGGAATTTAGAGCTCAGTGCCTCGTTTTTTTGGTAAATTCCACGAGGAGTCTAGCTGTATCTTTGAGTTCCAGAATTCCTTAAATCTGACCAGTAGTTTCCTTTTGTCTCAGTTGCCCACCTACCTCACAGGGATGTCCTGTGAATAAATAAATGAAACCCTAGCTTCCTGATCTGTACCCACTGATGTAACTGGAAGTTGCTAGATCCTCAGAACTTCTAAAAGCCAGGCCACCTCTTTAGGTACCTGGCTTTAACTACTCATTTTGAAAATCTCGGCTTCTAGTGTTCACAGGCCATTTCCAAGGCTCTGGTGGCTATGTTCTGCTGTTGCTCATGCCTGTGTAAATGAACTGAGTTACAGTTAGAGGAGGGGAGAAGCCAGGCTCGGGCTTCTAGTTTTGCAATATGATTCAAGTAAATTACAGAGAAGCAGCCTATTCTGTGGGCTGAGAGGAGGAGAGTGCCAGTTAAACGTCTTATTCAATTATGTCAAATGATCGACATTCATTAAACGAAGTAAAGTGAAATTAAATTACAGCAAGTAAGTGATTGCATTAGGTAAAGTGATGTTTTAAATTGGATAATGTGATCACCCTCCATTTATTACATTAAGTTCAGAATGTGGGATATCAATGCTGTTACTGAACCCTTGGAAAAACTCATGAAGGGAGCTGGCTCGTGAGAACAAGAATTAAACAGCTCTTCACTGATACTAGAGTACCCCACATACTTTGTGAGGCCCACAGATGGTAGGTCAGAAACTCCTGTTGCATCTCCTTTTTTCTGCCCATAAGTAAATGGGATGGATAGGCTAGCCCTGTGCTTTGGAGAGCCTAGGGCTAAGCCAACCTCATAACAGAATGAGCCCATAAAGAGCAGAAAATGGTTGAACTAATGAGGAGTCAGGCTTAATTGATGAGGCTATTCCACATAAAGAGCAGAAAGTGGTTGAACTAATGAGGAGTCAGGCTTAACTGATGATGAAGCCCAGCTGGGGAAAGAGCTGGAGCGATAGCCAGGCAGGCAGCTTGGAGCAGGGAGGGAGCCTGCATGAAGCAGGAAAGAAATGAAGTGACCTACAGAAGAGCATGTCATGGGCATCCCCTACAGGCTCTAAGGAATGGGGGCTACAAGCCCATTGCAAGGGTTATTGAGCCCAGCAGGAGGACTGCAGGCTAAACCTGGAAGACAAGCTGAGGAGCTGCCTGAGAGATGGGGGGGGGGGAGAGGATTTGTGTTCATTAGTGCCCAAGCATTGGACTATTCTTCCCCTCAAGCCAGGATGAGACTCTTGATTTTAATGATCTTATCTGGAAGACCCACACCCAGGAAATGGCCTGGAACACAGTTTACCAGTCATGAATTGGACAAATAAAAGCCTGGGATGATCCTGCCAGGACTCAGATCTGTTGTTCTTCAACAATTTGAAGGTTAGGCCACTAAGTCCTCTCTCATTTAGAGTAAGATTTCCTCAACAACATTGTTTCCTTTGTGATTGTTCCTCCAGTTGCCACTACGTAAGGGACTCTCTTTTCATTCTGCTTTTATAATGGCAGTAATACTCAGCGAATGGAAGGAGAGAGCATTTTGTTTCAATATTTCCCAGTAAGAAATGGCAGGCAGACTTCAGGCATGTCACATATTGTGCTGGGTGCAGGGGGAAACTTACAACTCAGATTTTGTTGCTGGAAATGCAAGCTGGGATCCATGAGGTCTCAGCATTAGAAGCTCGTTATCAGAATTCTGTGTTAGGGTTCATAAATACAGTAGACTTCCGATAATCCAGAACCTATGGGACCTACGTGGTGCCGGATTATCAAATATGCCGGACTATCAGGAGGTACTATAAGCTGCTTATATATATATACTGTATACAGTATATACTGTATATAAAGTGTTCTTAACCCTTTTTATTATACATACTGTATACAGTATACTGTAATATTTTAGGTTTTTTAAAGCCTTTTTTACCCTTTTTGCTCTGTTCAGCTGCTGCCGCTGTTACCTTGTGACTCATTTTTTGCTGAAGCTCACTCACTAGGCTCTTGCCATTTTGATGCTGGACTGTCAGGAGTGCCGGACTATTGGATGCCGGACTATTGGAGTTTTACTGTACCAGAGCGTGTGGATGGGGTTTTCAAAAGCATCTTGGTAGTTAGGAGAACAAGTTCCACTGAAGCCAGAGGGGGATTAATAAACCCGACACCATTCACTGACAGTGTTGTGTACAGAGAGGACTTAGTCCTTTGGTCTGTTTGGATATCACAGAGGCTGAGCACCACCTGCACTCATTCATGGACTTTTGCCTCCCAACATTCCTGTGAGAGACAATGGTACTATCTCCATTTTCCCAATGGTGCCTAGAGTGACAGGGTAGGTTAAGAGCAGAGGTGTAGGAACATTTTTTAAGAGTGGGGATGCTGAAACTCCCCCTTACCTCTATACTCCCCCCTCTACTTCCCCACCGCAGCTGAGGCTGGCAGCAAAGCCCCTGTTCATGAAGAGCCTGCAGAAGGGCTTGCGACACACGAGGATGGAGCAAGGACGTTGGTGCGCTAGTCTGGGAGCCCAGGAGTGCTGCAGCACCTCCTGCGCCTCCAGTACCTGTCTTGCCCAAGATCATGCTAGTATTCTGTGACTGAACTGGGAACACAAACCAGCTTCCCCGAGTCACTGTCCAGTGCTCTACTCACTAGATCATCCTTCCTCAGCAGAAAAGTGAAGGCAGGGAAGTCCTTCAAGCCAGAAAGATCTCTCATGAATAATTGAAGTGCCATACTGGATTTCATAGAAAACTAGAACTGGAAGGGACCTCGAGAGCTCATCGAGTCCTAGAATCATAGAGCTGGAAGAGATCTCAGGAAGTCATCAAGTCCAGCCCCCTGCCCAAAGCAGGACCAATCCCAACTAAATCAATCCAACCAGGGCTTTAAGCTGAGACTTAAAAACCTCTAGGGGTGGAGATTCCACCACCTCCCTAGGTAACCCATTCCAGTGCTTCACCACCCTCCTGTGAAATAGTTTTTCCTAATATCGAACCTAGACCTCCCCCACTGTAACTTGAGACCATTTTTGCACAAAAAAAACCCTTTTGCGCAAGACTCTGTAAATCTAATTTTTTGAGGAATAAGGGTTCTTGAGCAAAAGGGCTTTTTTGTGCATAAAACAGACCTGTCTACACAGCTTTTTTTTTTTTGCACAAAAACATCTTCCGCAAAAAGCATTGGAAGAAAATATGCAAATGAAGTGCGAGAAGTTGCTAATGAGCACTTCATTTGCATTGCCTCTTCTGCAAAAATGAGGAGGTAGTGTAGGTGTCATGTCCCTTACCCAGATGGCCCAGTCCAGCCCAGGAGGGGCTAAGCCCGATTAACACCCTTATACTTACATGTGCTCTCTCTGGATATGTCTACACTACCACCCTAGTTCGAACTAGGGTGGTAGTGTAGACATATCCAGAGAGAGCACTCTTCCTTTGACGTCCCTTACTCCTCGTACAATGAAGGTTACAGGAATTGATGTAAGAAGTCCTCCAGCTCAACATTCTTTCAAGGTTATGTTGAAATAACTGCTTGTAGTATAGACGCGGACTATGTTATTTCGGAATAACATTGCTGTGTGGACATACCCTCAGTTGATCTGCCTTGGAACACTTGGGGCCAAGTTGCCCTGGCTGGGGTTTGAACCTGGATAATGTTCCTATGCAGCAGCCATTTTACAATGCATTTTTACCTAAGAGGCAGCTGCATTTTCAGTGATTTTAACGTATATCTAACTGATTCATAGAAAAATCAATATGTCTGTTAAAGAGGAACAGAACATATATGAAAATCTAGAGTATGAAACTGTGACACCGGGGGGAATGAGGTAGGAACCCACCTGCATGTTTCTGATTGGAGAATGGGGGCTTAATTGTGTGGGAAAATGGTGAAAAATTATGGATTTTTTTAAAAATTAAACTCTTCCAGTAAAATGATATTTTAGTAATGCTATCATATATAGAGTAGCCCAATGTCTGTGACTCTGTAACGCTGAAATGCTGGCTGTTCCCTCTGGGCGGCACTCTTGCCTCTCTGGCTGTTTCCTCTGGGCGGCGCTGTTGCCTGAGTCATGTCCTTTGCCTCCCGCTGTGGCGTTCGGCTGACTTCTGCGCCGCTCAGCCGGGCTGCCACAGGGGAGCCCAAATGGCCGCTTGCTCCCCCATGGCGGCCTGGCTGAACGGTGCAGATGTCAGCCGAGCACCATGGTGAGAGGCGAAGAGGGGTGGGGCGATGACGTGCAGCATGACAGCAGCTCCAGGCCCTACCCCCTGGCCATGAACGTCACCTTCCTGCCCTCCTTCACCTTCCGCCGTGGTGCTTGGCTGACTTCTGCGCCCCTTAGCCGGGCCGCCGCATGGGAGCAAATGGCGCAAGCGGCTGTTTGGGCTCCGCGGTCCCCTGAGTGAGAGGCCGGGGGGGGGGGGGGGGAGGCAGTAGGAGGAAAAGAGAGAGACAGAGAGAGAGACCAGAGGCTCAGGAGAGAAGACTGATGTGGAAGAGAAACCTGAAAATCCCGTCTTATGATGGGCTAATTGGCTAGTTAACAATAATAGGTTTTAAAAAATCAGACCAAAGTGCTGGTAATTTTTTAAAACAGAAACATCCCTCCATCTAATATCACACTACAGTAATATCTAACTATAGACTACATTAACTTCAAATTTTTTAGGGTTTGACCAAGTTCTCAATGTTTTCTGGGAAGCATTTTAAAAAAATTACTGTGTGAAGCAGTTCCTGTCAATTTGAAGAAATATATATTGTTGAAATTTTTTACTCGCAGCATATTTACTCTTTCCTCCATCTACTTCCTAGAGGCTTATTAGCAAGTGGGTTGACACCTGTTTACAAAATGACTTGCAAGATATCTATAAGCTTTCAGGCAACGTTCATTGTATTAGATGGACAAGAAAAAAATATATTTGTAAATAAAAAATTCTTAGAAATATTAAAATGAAAACTAAGCTTAAGTGCTATCTATGAGGAAAATAAAAAATTACTGCTATTAGAGAAATATTTTAACGGTTTGAACAGTTACTCTCTTCTCCTCCATAAACATTTCTAGTCATTAATAGCCTCTGGTCTAATCATAGGATCAGAATATACTCACAGCAACAGATGACCTTAAATTAATCTTACGAACAGTTATTTCTATAATATGAATTCATTTGCTATGATGAATTTGCAGTGTCATGTTAAAATGCATAATAAAAATACCAGCATTGCTCTGCGATGATAAGGGACTATGATCGTACTGTATTAAAAGTCCATGTCCTGGTCTTATCGCCTTTACTGGCAAGTAATTTAGAGGTGTAGAGAGTGGGGAGGAGATGGGGGGTGGGTGGGGAGAGAAGAGGTGAATGACCAGCAGAGTCACATCAACAAAAGTAGATCAAATGTTCATGGGTTTGAAGGCCAAAAGGGGTATGTCTACACGACAGCGTTATTTCAAAATAGCTTATTTCGAAATAACGTGTCTAGACACAAAATGCGTTTCGAAATAGCGTTTTGCTATTTTGAAATAGCGCATCCACACTACTAGGATGCTGAGTCGCATTTAAGGCCGGCTGGAACCAGTTCTGTCAGGGCATCAGGTCAGGAGTTACCTTGTGTGGCTGCTGCCTGAGACTATCTGAGACCTGTGCTTAAAGGGGCTCCTCTGGACAGCCAGTTCTAAGGTTTCCCTGCTTACTTGTGTACCTCACTGAGGGACTGCAAATCATTTTTTTCTCTGTATGCTCTGGTTGCCCTCACTCAGGACACCACAGCACTCTGCAGAATGGAGCTGGATCTGTGTGCTCTAGTTACCCTCGCTCAGGACACCCCAGCACTCTGCAGAATGGAGCCAAAGCTGCCCCTGGGCACTCCGGTGCTTCCTCTGGGCTGGTTGCTGTGAGCCTGGCAGCACATTCTACAGGCAGTAAAAGTCTCCCTGGTGTGCCCCACTGGGGGCTTGTGCCTCATTCCTCTCTCACATCCTTCCACTTACCCCTCCCTAACCCCCCCGTCCTGCTGTACAATAAAATACATGTATTTTCATGAACACAAACTCTCTTTATTTAATAAAACTTGGGGGGGGGGAATGAAACTGGTGAGACTGGGGAAAGGAGATGGGAGAGGGGAGAAGAGAGGGTGGGAGAGGGGAGGGGGAAACTTGGGAGGAGGCAGCTGGAAGGGGGAAGCAAGGGGAAAAAGAGGAAGGAGAATCTCAGGGTTCAGGGATGGGAGTTCTGCTGGACCAACTTGATTGCCATGCAAACCTGCTCCTGGGTTCGCATGTGGCCTTTGATGGCCAGGCTGGCAGTTATCCTGCCATAGACGGCCACATTCCTCCTGATCATGGACATTGGGAGCATCCTCCCCAAACCTTAATAAGGTCCATGATCTCTGCCCTGGACCAGGAAGGCGCCTGCCTTCCCCGGGCCCTGGCAGGCTACTGGGAACTGGCAGACTGCTCCTGGGGAGTGGTGGAGGGCTGGCTGTCAGTGGCATGCTGGCTCATGTGATGGGGTCACTGGGTCAAGTGCAGTGACTGCTGGCTCTGGGCTGGCAGGCTTGGGGCTGGCAGGCTTGGAGCTGGCACAGGCACTGTGGCCAGAGTCTACCCCTTTAAGGGCTCCGGAGAGGGGGAGGGGGAGAGGGAGAGGAGTTTTCTTGGTTGTGCCCAGAGTGGCCACCAGGGCACCCTTGGAAGGACTGGAGGCTCCCTGTTTCAAAATAAGCGTCTACACAGCACTTACTTTGAAATAGCAATTTTGAAATTGGCACTATTCCTCATGGAATGAGGTTCACCAATTTTGAAATAAGCCCTCCGCTATTTCAATTTAATTTTGAAATAGCAGTTTGGCTGTGTAGACGCTGGTAAAGTTATTTCCAACCAACAGCTGTTATTTCGAAATAACTTTGCTGTGTAGACATACCCAACGGGCCTTATGATCATGCATAATACAGGCCAGTGAAATGCGGGTTTTGCTGGTATTACTACCCTGATCTGTCTTGGACTATCAGCAGTGTAATCCTGTGAGTATGAGAGTCAGAACCTATAACTGGCTTGAGTCCTTCATATTGGTGTATAGAGATCGCCATGCTCTAACCCTAAAGGAGAGCTCAGTTCCCTTCATGGCCCCATCCATGTAGAGGGGAGAGAGTAGCCCCAAATCCATAGGATAGCAAGTGAATATAGATGGCCCTTCAACAAGTTTTAGGCTTGAAATTAGATGAAGGTGTAGAGTGAAATGAGAGTGATGTTCTGGAGCAGGCTCCCAAAGGAAAGTGGGGGCTAATACCCTAACTGGCTTCAGTTGGTCTTGATAAATCGATGGAGGTGATGGCACGATAAGGTTGCATGTGGCTCTTCTGTGGCTGCTAACAGCAAATATCCCCACCGACCAGGAGCTGGGCACTAGATGGGGAGGGCTTTGAGTTACTATGATGCATTATTTCCAGCTGCCCAGCTCATAGATCTTGCCCATGTGCTCAGAGTCTAACTGACGGCCGTAACTGGGATTTGAAAGGAATTTCCCCTGAGGTCAGAGTGGCAGAGATCCTGGTGTTGGTCCCCTTCCTCAGCATGGGGCACAGGACACTTGCCGGTTTCAACAAGAGAAAATGGTAGATGCTCCGTAACATGAAGTGTGTATATCCTGTTTTGAAGTAAGAATAAGAGCCTCCGGAAAAGGGCACTTTTTCCGGAGGATCGGGGCCAGTCTAGACGCTCTTTTCCGGCTTTTTTAAAAGCCGGAAAAAAGCGGCGGACATTTTTATTTAAATGCCGCGGGGGATATTTAAATCCCCCGCAGATTTCCCTACGACGACTAGTGAAATTTACATGCCCCTTCCGGAAAAGGGGCCAGTGTAGACGTAGCCTGAGTGTTTGGGCCTGTAACCGAGGGGGTGAGGGGTTTGAGGTCTGCACTATACAGGATATCAGGCTGAATCGTCATGGTCTCTTCAGGTTTTAAAATGTGAGGAGAAGTAGCTCAGCCTGAGTTGGTTGGACAGCGGAGTCTTGTCGGGGACAGGGGCTTTTCTTGAAAAGGGGTTTCTTTGCAGAGGCATTCAGTGGTGCTGGAACTATTTTGGAGGTGGGGGTGATGAGCTGCACTCCCTTTGTAAGCCTGTTGAGATCAGATGGCCATCTCTGCCAGATTCCATTGCTGCAAATGGCCTCTGGTCCATCCAGTCCAGGAAAGTTGGCAATTCTCACACCCTTCCCTCGCCCCAGCTGGGGCCACAGTTGGGTTGGTGGTGGGACCCTGGGGCTGGTGGGCAGTGGCAGAGCCAGCAGGCAATGGGACCCCAGGGATGGAGGCTGATGGGGACAGCAGGGCCCATGGGGTGGGTTGGGAGAGCCAGCTTCCCCCCCCCCCCGCACTCCTATTTCCTGTGTCTATGGATACATTTAGAGCAAGGATGGGCAGTAATTTTTCCCAGGGGGACACTCCAAGGTTTTGGAAAGTGGTTGAGGGCTGCACTCCTCTATGATATTAATGAAGGAGGTGTGGGTTCTGGGATGAAGGCTGGCTGCAGAAGGGAGCTTAGGGGTAAAGGGACTGGGGTGCAGGAAGGAGATTGGGGTCTGGGAGGGAGTTTGAGTGAAGGAGGGGGTTTGGGATGTGACCTAGGGCAGGATGGGGTTGTGACCTAATGCAGGGAACTGGGGTGCAGAAGTTTGGGTTGTGACCTAGGGTAGGAGAAGATTATAATCTGGGGCAGAGGATTGGGGTAACAGATGTGGGAGGGGCTATGGGTGCAGGAAGTGGCAGAGGGTTTGGGCATGTTGAGTCAGGGGTCTGAGGTTTGGAGACGGGAAGGGCTGGGGTGCCAGAGGCAGGCTCTGGCCAGGAGACTTACCAGCCAGCAGACCTGCCAGCCTGCTTGTAGAGTTTAAAACCTTGTAGACCAGCCAGCTAAATGCTTGTAGAGTTTAAAACCTTTCTCAGCCAGTCAACCTGCCTGCCCAGTGCCTGAACAGGCTGCAGGGCCAGGTGCTTGTGTGAATAACTGAGCTGGAGGGAAGAAGGGTCTATGTGGTGCTTCATATACTGACTTGTATTAAAAAAAGGCAACTTCTGTTGGCTAGTTTCTGGCCAGAAACCAGCCAACGGGATTGTGCTGTGGGCAAGGTAGAGCGTGAAGCCTTCCCTCGCTCCGCTTTGGGACTGCGCTTTTGAAACAGAAACAGCCTGGCAGCTGCTTTTTTAGCAGTGTGTGAGGCTGTGGGGCAAGTAGGGGAGCCTGCCTGGGGTTCCTCGCAATGCCTGCGGGCCGGATTCAGTGGCTTGGCAGGGCTGGATCCAGCCAATGGCCTGTATTTTGCCAGGCCTGATTTAGAGGGAAGATCTGGTGGCTCCACTGGAGATATTCTGCCAAGGAATGGGCCTAGAGTTACCAGGGCACAGGGGTTATACACAGATAGCTCTAATCCTCTTGCTGATCCCATAGCATGTGGTGTGGATCCTTGGTCATCCTCTTAAGGGAGTAGGAAATCTTGTTCGTGGAATACTCCCACCCATAAGCCTTATGCCATGGATTTCAAGTCTAAGCACATCTGTATCACTTGCTGTGTGTCTTTGAACAAATTACCTCCTGCCTCAGTTTCTCCATTGGAAAAGTGGAGGAAATAATTTGATAGTTGCTTCCTGGGGAAGTTAGGAGACTGAACATATTTTGGAGAAAGGCTTTGAGAGTTTCTTGGTACTTTAAATGCTCACTGAATATTACTTTTGCCCCATTTCCTCTGCAGTGCTGGTTATTTTCCAAACTAGCTTGCCATATGAGGAAAGAAGATTGCACTGAGCAAAGTAATTTGAGGGAAATAATTTAGCCAGTAGAAGGGATTTGGTAGGAGCCAAACAGAGCTGGGGAAGCACTTTGTGGAAAACTGATTTGACTGTTAATATCCCTTCTGTGCTCACTTCTCACCACTATTCTAGCACTGACTTTACTGGCAAGCATGTTCCTAGGCAGCGAATTTCATGCTCCGTGCCCTGAGCAGAGCTAGTTAAAAACTTTCCAAGAATGTTTTTGTTCCAGAAGATGTCTTTTTGTGAAAATTGAAAATGTCCATGGGAACATGCCACCTTTGATCGCAACTTCATTTAAAAATTAATCAAAATGCTTCATTTTGACAGTGTTGAAAGAGAACCTTTCAATATTTCCAGAAACAAATGGTAAGATTTTTCATTTCAAAATGGCTTTTGTTTTGAAATACATTATATTTTATATTTGTTTAAAAATAGTCAGAATTGAAATGGGAATGTTTTGATTGACCCATAATGAATATTTTAGAAAATTCTGTTTTCTAGGAAACTTTGAAATTTGTTTCCATTCCAAAAAGGAACAAAACACATTTTAAAATTGTAGAATTTCCTATAAAATGGAAATTCTTGCTCCCACGAAGCTCTAATCATGAATTGTCTCTCCAAAACCAGGATTCTCAGGGTCTCACCCATACAATGTCAGTATGTCTCTGAACAAAACCCAGACCTATTCAAAATTAAAGATGATCTAACTGCTGGGGCTGAGTCTGCTACAAATCAGGACCCAAGTCTGGCCCCTTTATGCAGGCGAACTTGACTAAACAAGAAAATGGCACTTTAAAAAGAGCCATCCAGTTGCACTAGTGATAGCTGCATTGGAAGCCCTTGTATAACCATCCTGTTCCAGCACCCATACTCAGGTAGGCAGATTTAACATGGAAACAGCCATCTAAGATACTTGTACGGCTCCTAGTACACAATTAACTTCCTATAGTTGCCTCTCCTAACACATCTGTGAGGTAGGGAAGTGCTATTGTTCTTATTTTAGAGATGGGTGACTGAGGCACAGAAATGAAGGGAGAAATTTTTAAAGGTTTAGAAGTACTAACTCCTGTAGAAACCGCCGGCAGATAGGCACCTTGAAAAA